AGATCGATTTGCAACATTGTTAGCTTTGCAACCTTGTGGAAGTTTCGGGAGAATCGTTTTGCAACATTGTTGGCTTTGCAACACTGTGGAAGTTTCGGGGGAATCGATTTGCAACATTGTTGGCTTTGCAACATTGTGGAAGTTTCGGGGGAATCGATTTGCAACATCGTTGAGTTTGCACAATTGTGGAAATTTTATCGGAGTGATTTGCAACATTGATGATGTTTTGAGCGGAGCATTTGCAACATTGTTAAACCAGGAAATATCACAGAGTATGCGGTGAAATTATAGGGAAATATACCAGGAAACGGAGGAACATTAAAGGGAAATGTGCAAGGAAATAAAAGGAAATTAAAGGGAAATATCACAGGAATGAAGGGCAACTAGAGGGGAATGTCACAGAAATGAAGGGTAATTAAAGAGGAATGTGCCAGGAAACGAAGGGAAATTATAGGGAAGTGTGCCAGGAAATGAAGGGAATTAAAGGGAAAAGTTAGTTGATCCGTACCGGATTTCCTTCGTCCCACTTCTTCGCATATCATGTTCTCCTGATATCAAAATGCAAAATCGTGTCAGTATTATTTTAGTACTTACAAGATACTCCTTACGATAAGAAAACTCTGGAATAGTAAAAATTGGATTTGTATTCGAATATATCATACAATAACACATAATAAATTTCTACTGTTTAATTCGTACTACTTTTATTACCCACACCTATTGCAACACGTATTTTCTTAAGTTCCTATGACGAACATTATTTGCCAAAGGCACCGACGTTAAATTTATCATTACGAATTTAGATTAATTTAACTATTCAGTTACTCAGGTTAGTAAATAAAAAAACTCACGTAAATCGCAGAACAAGTGGAGTCGCTCATGAAAAATTCATTAATCGCCTTCGTCCGTAACCACGCAGTCGAAAAAAATTCACTCCTACCTTAAGACCATTTCTAAGAAAGAATGGCATCAATTCTGAGAGTGAGAGCGAATTTCCAAACAGATCCTTCCGGTTCCTGAGGCGTCGTAACGTTCTGTTATGTTCTTCCGGTACATGGATAAAGAGAATTGAACTGCTTTAATGGAGTTTAAGAAGCAGAACGGAATTTCTCGCAATTGCTGGCTGATAATTACAAACGGGGCGAAACGATTTTACTTTATTTGTCCTTCCAGGTGGACACGACGAATAATCGCGATAAACAGGAGCTCCGACGATCGTTTCGCTGGAAGCAACAGTACTCATAACGCGCTTGCTTTCACTGCAATTCAGTCGAGAAACTACGACAAGTATTCTCTCAAAACGAAATTAATATTGAATCGCAAATAAATGTTGCTCGACATGTGCGGGGATTAGTGATTTCAATTGATTGGAACTAGTTAATTCGATATTAATTAACAAAAATAAAAGAAATAAATTTTGTTAATTAATTCCAGAAATGCAACGTTAAAGAGTCGATAGAGCAATAGAAGCAAAGGACGAAGGAACTTTCCTTTTATTACCGAAGCGCCAATAGAAATCCGGAAGTAAGACGGGGATCTCGATGCAGGAAGGAGTCGATACCTACGTACACAGCTATAATTCACGCATGGCGGAATCGTCGCGATTTTTTTCACTTTCACAACACCGAATGCTAGTTCACTTCTCCGGTAATACAAGGCGCGTGCGCACTTTCGTATTTCGCCGCGGTTACGTATCGTTGTAATTCATAGTTTCCGTATCGCATAACTTTTTACATAATCGGGGGAAAAAAGACCGAAGACAATGATTTGACCTCGCTGTTACCGTAAGTCGAGTAAACATGCACCTGGAAAGTCGAGGGACAATTTTTATTACTTTATTCGTCACGCAGTAAAGACGAATGCTTATATCTATATCTATATTCATGAAATACAAGATAATTTTGATCTAGAAAATATAATTTACAGGAGGATCGAATTTGTACCTAACACGTCAATTTTTATGTGATAAAAGTAGAACATGATCGTTGTAACCAGTCCATTACGTATTATACGACGTTAGTAAAGAAGTAGTTCTCACAAAAAAGTTAGGCCACTTTCTAGGAGTAATCAAAACACGACTAACATCAGATTTTATACTTCTACGTGACTTACTTCTCGAATGTATTAGAAACTTAAGGTACCGTTAGGATTCTCTAAAGGCTTCAGTTTTTGGTAAGAAAATTGTAAACGTGGTTCTCAACAAATCAATTATAGTTCACATACTATAACTGCTAATATTAACAATCATATAGTGCACGTCAATTATAGCGAAGCATAAGATTTACGAACAAATAATAAGCAGTAAAATAAACAGAGCACGATTATTTTTACAATTTTCCTATCTCTACGTGACTTCTTCCTTCAAATACACGAGAAATTTAAAAAAAAAAAAAAGAGGACTTTACGAAAACAAATTCCATCGAATTCAAATGAGCCTTTAGATAAGCGTGCACACACACGTGAATCGAAGCTAGAAGGTTCGATGCAGTAGCTGGTGGAGAAAGTAATGCTTTCTTGAACGCGTATCCACGATTCTTAATTACGACCGTGAAATGATTAAGATTCGCTCAGGTTCGAAAGCGCGCCGGAAGCGATATCTGGGAGTCCAGGATACAAAATCGAGTATTCGTCCTCTCTTTTTCTTAACGGTTCCGTATAATTTTCCGGTGTCACCGTTCGATTTCTCTAAGGAGCAGTCGATAATCTCGCAGTCTCGCTCGAAGTCGTTGGACCGCGACTCGAATGCGAAAATAAACGTCCGCGCGAGTTAGCGAGCGTTCTAGAATCCTCTTCGGCCATCTCGTATTTTCACTAGCCGATGATTTAACTTAATATCATTTTAATTCCTTGTATTTTATAATAAATCAATTATTTTTTTAAGTAAATTATTTTTCAGGTAATCGATTCATGCTTGTTTTGATAATTAAAAAAGATGCATGGAGTATATTTAATAAATACTTGTCATCATTTCTCCATATATCTTTTTTATTTACAATAACAAGTCATTATAACAAATTATTATCAAATTATTTGTAGCACAATTGTATCCTCAATGAAATGATGTGACTGAGCGAAGTAGAGTTTTTAAATGGACCAAATATAATATTGTCTGGTAAAAAAATATCATTAATATAGGTACAAAATGTTGATGATTTTTGTTTACTTTAAATTGAAATTCTATCTTTTTTTTTAAATACAAGTATTTCTCCTTTCCTTACGTCGCTTTTCCTTCGTATCGTCCCGCTGGCCAGTAGCGCGAAAAGGCAGAGAGCAATTATTGTAAAAGTGAAACTCGCACGAGGACGAGATTTCCGGCAGATTCGACGTCGTTGAGAAAGCGTCGGCTCGTAAACGCGTTCGCGCGGAATTTTTTGGCTCGAATCGCTTTTCTCGTTACGTGTCGCGGAAAACGGGAATTAAATTGCTGGCTGACGATGGTGCCACCATCCGAACTTATAAAAAATTTATTTAATAAAATCTACAACGGTTTTGTGCTTAATTATATTTGTCGCTTTGAAAGTTAAACATTTGTTTTCTTTCCCTAAAACATTGCTTAGTGGAAAGCAAGGGAAGACTTGCCTTTATTTTCGACACTTCAAGTTACGATAAATGAAGGTTTTCTTTTATGTTAATCTTGTAATTAAACTTGTATAGGATGGAAAGTATACCGTATAAACTCTTTGCGGTATACAAGTTCAACAAATACATTTTATGACAAAAAGTTGAAAGGATTTAATTTAGTTAATTAATCTGTTTAACTTGACTCTATTATTATATTTATATTAGTGAACATTTACTCAATTAATTTGAGAGGGATAGAAGGTTCGTTTTATGATGGATCAGTATTTATTAAAAATCTTTGATACAAAAGGGGACTACTTCGCTCGGATACCTTAGCCTAAATTAGGTACAAGTGTTCGTTACCGCAGCAAGATATTAATCCCAGCTGCGGCTCTTAATTTATTTTACGCGCGCGAAGCTCGCTCGAACGACGGTATTAGTGTTTTCTTTGGAACAGCAGGATAGACACGACGCGCACAGTTTTACAATAAAAGCGTAACTATTATACGAAAAAGAAAGCATACTTTACGCGGATAATATATTAAAATATTTTTGTTTAAACTGCATACTTCGTCGAACGAAATCCTCTTTCACAGACATTAGAACCTAACGAATGAAATTTATGCAAGCGTCGGCACTAAGAGTTTGGCGAAAGGAAAAAGTTAAAAGGGAAACCTCGAAAGGGAGGAGTTTTTAATTTTATAACGATCTCTAGTTTGACGTTTTGAAAAGTTCGCGATGGAAATATTCTTTTCCTTGCACCTGTAGCGTTGCTATAATCGATATTATATTTATTACACAAGTGGCCACGATCTAAGATTTTTATTTAGGTATTTCGGATTATGAACTCCAAAACCAACTGTTTCTGCAGCCCTGTTCGACTGAAACGATAGTATATTCCATGCTACATCATCGGTAACCATAGTAAGGAGAAAGAAAAATCATTGGATGGAATCGCCAGTTGTTGCTCGTAGAATAAAAATTAAAGTTTGGATTATAAAGTGATATAGTTCACGATATATAAATAATTTCACTAAAAACTTGCACATGGAACTAATGATAACTCAGTTCATACATTTGTTATACTGAATCACACTCGAGTAATAAAAGTCATTCTAAATGTTTGTTCTATTATAATAATTAAATCGACGATTTAACTGTTAATTATTCGATTGAATAAACATCACGAATAAATCCTCATTCGTTGAGTTTACTCGTCGTTCTTCCTGAAAAATTTTGTCTGATCAACACTGTTCACATTCTACTTACAGCTGGTACTTCCCCGTCGGGATTACTCTTTCTTTCTCCTCGCAATACATCGAACAACGCCCACGAGTTTCTTAAATTACATGGAAAGACACGTTACACTCGCTTAACAGAAAATATTACAACTGTCCCTTGAGCCTCACTAGCAAGCCCATTCGATTGATGATATTGGATAAAAAAAGGTCTCTGTACTCGAAAGGGCCATGAAAGTTTAATTAAAAAAAATTGAGAACTGGCTAGACTTTAAGAAGTCAGACTGGCATATGTATAAAAAAAAAACTGAGGGAACAGAAAGGAAGAATTTAGCGATACCTCGACGACACATCACTATGAAAGGAAGCTCTCTGCATCAATTTAAAAATATTCCAACAAGACTGCAAATATTCCCCTTCCAAGATCCTAAAAACAACCCCCCAAACCAGTCATCAACGAACCATTCAACCTGCACATACCCAATCCTTACATTCCCCCCATCAATCGAACAGTCCTGCCACCGAATAGAAATCCAAGTTCACCAAGAACAGAGACGACATCGCCAGAGATCCAATAAGCTTGCGTTTGGAGGCTTCAACGACGAAGAGATCCCTAGACACCTAGGGATCAACGATGATATCCACCGCCTTCTCCATGCCCGGAGAACCCTTCGTACCCTCCACCGCCACCTCCTCCATGCTCCTCATGAACATGCACAGGCACTGGTACCTTGACAGGGTAAGGCACCTCCTTCTCCACGGGATAAGGCACCTCTTTCTCAACGATGTACGGCTTGTCTACTGGTACTTTCACAGGGTAAGGTACAGGTTTAGGTACAGCCACTGGCACCGGCTTGTGCACAGTGTAGGGTTGAGGTACTGGCACCTTGACGTGCACGGGGTACGGTTTCTCGACGGGTACAGGATAAGGCTTGTCGACCGGGACCTTGACTTCGTAGGGCACAGGCTTGTCGACGTGCACGGGATACGGTTTCTCGACGGTGACAGGGTACGGTTTAGGCACGCTGACTGGGTAGGGTTTGTCGACGGGAACCTTCACCTCGTAGGGCACAGGCTTCTCGACAGGGTACGGCTGGGGCAACGGGACTTTGACCTTCACCGGGTAGGGGACGTGCTTCTCGACGGTGTACGGTTGTGGCACGGCCACCTTCACGGGCACAGGTACGTGTTTCTCGACGGTGTACGGTTGAGGTACCAACACCTTCACCTCGTAAGGCTTGTCCACGGGAACCTTCACTTCGTACGGGACCTTTTTCTCCACGGTGTACGGCTGGGGCACGTGCACGGGCACCTTCACGAACACCTTCACCGGGTAGGGGACGTGTTTCTCGACAGTGTATGGCTGAGGAACGCCGACCTTCACCTCGTACGGAACGTGTTTCTCCACCAGGTAGGGCACGTGTTTCGTCACTTCGTACGGAACCGGGACCTTCTTCACCACTGTCACGGTTTTCACGTGTTCCTGGTGGTCGTAGGTCGTGCCACCGCCGCCCCCTAGATCGCCACCGCCACCGAAGTCGCCGTAGCTACCGTGGAGGCCGCGTTTCTCGGTTTTTTTCTCCGTGGACTCGGACGAGGAGTCCTTTTCCGTTTCGGATTTCTTGGGAGATTCCTTCTCGCAGCTCGCTAGCGCGGCCAGGGCCACCAAGACGATGGCGATCTACAGGAGAAAGTTGCGGGAGGTTAACGGTGTTTGCGTCGGAGTGTGCCGTTTGCTTGGTTGGGTAGACCGAGTGACTGAGATGTGTTTAGGAGTCTTGGTACTTTCTTCAATGTTATTGAGTGTAACTGAGAAGCAGTACTAGAGCTCTACCATAGGTTCATCTTCGTCTTTTGTATTTCTTGATACGTGTGATTTATGTTCGTTTATGTTTTGCACTATTGTATCTAAGGGGTTGTGTCTCAGATAGTCAGATAGGTAGTTTCATATGATGACTTTTACGTATGAGGTATTGATGTATATTGGTCTGTGTTTTGTTCAGTTGCATCTGAGAAGCTTAATTGAAAACAATGTCAATCGAAATATCATAATTTCATAATTACTATTAAACATTTCGACAAAATAGTACTTATACTACACTTTAGGAATGAAAAATTATCGAAGAATAAGTTGTCCATTACTTATTCTAAAGCAAGCATAAGTGTCGATGAAACGGTTGACTGTAATCAAGACGATAATTAAAGAGAAATCGATCTAAGCCTGTATATACCTACCGAGAGGCAATCATGTTGAGCCAGGTTACGTAAAGTATCGGATACACGCTGACATGCTCTCGACTAAATCATTATATAAGTTTGTGTACTAATCTGCTTCACGTTCTACTTTCATTTTCGTTGCTTTCTTCAGGAATATTTTGCACCGAATTTCAGAAACAATTCTTCATTTTTGTAAGAAACTTTATGATGTTATTCCCTCGAAACGTTTGTTTTAGTAATTCAAGGATGATAATGATTAGATTGACGTTGCTTTTAAATAATTGGAATAATAATATTGATACTCATGGTTGAGAACAGAGCAGTCGAAAGGTAAGACCTGTATATTTATTGAGCATGAATGCGATCAGAATAATGTGATTCATACGTAAGAGCCAAATTAGGAAAATCATTATTATTGTCATCTTCACAATGAAGCTTGATTATATTTATTAATATTAAACGAGAAATAAAATAGCAGTATTTAGAAGAATAAAGTTATAAAAAGCATTACTATTATTCCATCCACGAAGAACCTCTATGCAAAAATACAAGTTCAATTCAAGCTCCATAATCGTAATTTAAAGTATAACTTCCACATATGTTCATTTAAAAATTTCGAATATTATACATACGTATGTATAATTTTAAACAATTATTTACCTGAAGATATCCACGCTTTCTGACCACCAAAATCTTTACCCAATAAATTAACCGCGTTTCTCGATGTAATCAAACAATTTATAACGTATCGATCATCTTCCACGACATTTACAAGACTAACCAAAAATTAAAGCACACCCTAATACACACGATCTAAGCCCCGCCGAATTGTTTTTCTATCGCTTACCTTAATATTCATCGTTGAGTTCGCGTATGTTTTGTGGTGGCGTATGACCACTAACTGAACCGCTTCGTTTTCTAGAGTGAGCCTTATATACTCCGCGGCATAATGGCTCTGTTACTTTCGCCGCACCTCATCGTTCGTATTACACTTGTGCGTCTCGTTTTGCATTTGCAAAAACGTGCTCGCGAGCGAGTGCCGGGATAACGCACGTCGGGAAATCGCGCGCTCCGTCGCGGTGGCTTCTAATCTATGCCGTTCGATCGCGATTCCGTGGAAATTGTTCCATCGGATGCTTTTAAGATAACACTGGTTCGAGTCGATACTTCCCTACCCGTCCACGCATTGTTTCCCTATCAGCGATCCTCCCCTTTCAACTGAAATTTAATTGAAAATGAAATCGCGACTCTCTGGACGCTCGCTTCTTCCAAAAAAATTATTCACTCGTTACATGATAATAAACGAATCTTTTAAATTCGGTAAAAAAAAAAAAACAAGGGCGTGCAAAACATAAAAGGTAGGAAAATAATAAAAACCCTCCATTTTTCTCGAACGATAAAAAATTGCCAGTTAGGTTGATTAGCCTGAGCATACACTCGAATGAAAAATTCACGATCGACTTTCCACGCTGTCAGAGATCTCGCGACCAATTTCGAGCATGCTGGAGTTTTCTTTGGTATGCGTGTACCGGCTCGTTAATCTGCATAACCATCGTGGAAGCTTATCTCTCGATAGCGTTAATTCGAAACCCCCGGTCGCGGTTTCGCGCAAACCGTATCGATATCCGCGAAGGACGGCCATTAGGCGCGTGTAATTGCCACAGAAATCCGAGTAAAGCTCGCTCGCCCGTCGTGGCTCGCATGCGGAATACGTAATGCCGTATGTTAATACGGTCGCATGCGCCGACGCCATTTCGATCCTTACGGTAGATAGAACCTACGATTTTTTAACGATTAATCGCTGCACAGGCATCCCGCTGGTTCGTATCACCGAGAATGCTTGTTACGCGCCGTGACTCCTTATTCGCGCAATTTTCAATAAATATCGCTGACTCGACCAACGCCACCGTGAGTCGCGTTGGATGAGGAACGCCATCGAGTGGATTGATCGGTGTGGTTGAGGGTGGAAAAGGATCGTAGGCGTGGTAGGCGAGCAAAAGTAGATGGAAGTGAATTTGGTGATTGGGAAAAATATTTTGTTCTCATTCATAAGTGATCATTTACACCTCACTTGAAATTCTTCAAAGTTTTGCGTTTATCTTTGAAACTCCATACCAAGATTCCTGTCTAGATTGTTATCGCTGAATCATAATACAACGATAATAGTGCTAATTATAGGAATGTATTTATAGTTTGCGCGTTAATTAGCATTGTAACGAGAAAGTTTTCCTTCCTCTATTGTTAGTTATAATCTCAGACTCTCTCACTCGACTTGCTGCGCTTTTCAAGCTCAAATTCGTTTCACTAATTGGGACTAATTTCCAATCATGTGAACGCAATGTTATCTTCTTATCGAATGCATAATTCTGGAACATCATTATTAGCAAAGAAAATGTAAACGAATATATTTAATAGCGTTTGACGGTCTGCAATTTAAAAAGAAGGAGAGCAAACAATACTATTCCTTATGTATTTTCCACATTTTCGTTTCTATTACATTTCTAGACACTTGTGATTCTACAGCGTTTAAAATTTGTTTATCCGAATCACTTCGTATATTTATTAACCGAGTTTAATACGGTAACACCTTTTAAAGTTGCACCAAACATCAATATTAATAGTTTCTACTAATTCAAGGGTTCATTCTGCAGAAAATATATGCAACTCTAAATGCTAGTTTCTGTTTCAATGACTGTTGTGAACTCAGACGGTCGGTAACACGGAAATGCCATGATGCAACAAAGATCGCGTGAATCATACTCTCCCACCTGCAATTATGCTATCGTGACATTCACCTTTCTCACCTCTCAAGTGTAATGACTCTGACGGATGCAAGATCTCTGTTGATTAGGGTCAATGGGACACTCACTCTTCATCATTCACCAACTATTTCTTCCAATAAAATTTAGCCCATTTCCACTTTCGAACCGCTTGCAGTTAGTCTAACGGGAAATGTGCAACACGTAACATTCTCCTAACTCTGCAACTCTTTCCCTAAAATTCCTCCAGAATTTTCCTCGTTGAGTGTTTACTTTCAGCGAACTGTAGCGGCCGCAATGGCGGTGTTACTTCCAGCGTTTCGGTTCGCGAAAGAAAGTGAAAGGATCCTCTGGGACTTTCCCCGAAATTTTACGCCGCTCCCGTAGCAACGCTCATCGCTGTTCCTTCCTAAGTTAATGTTCCATCGACACGAACTTGATAAAATGGGAAGGAAGCGGCGTGTAACTGACGCGACGCTTCGCTGGCATCATGATATCGAGACATTTTAGGTGTGAAAATATGTGTGAGGATAGAAATGTCTGATACGTGTATTAATAGCGTCCACTTTGAGAAATGTTTCCGCTAATTTTCATAAGGAAATGTTTATTTGTATGGAAAATATGGGAGCCTTCGCGAGATCCTACTGGAATTTTCTATTCGAAGGATGGATTAAATTGATGGACTTAATTAGACCTAACAGGATAAATTGAATTAAATTGAAATGCATAGAGAGTAGAATGTTATTATCGTCGTTCACTGAGATTTTTCCAAATATTGATTCGTTGGAGAGTTACAAGCTTGTTAAGAAAAGAATGTAAAGCAAAAGAAAATCAGCTGTTTGTAAAGTTTCATACGAAGTATCACAAGCAAAAAATAAAATGAAAAACGATAGTAGATTTAAGATATATGTAACGTTTAAGGATACATGCGTTTATCTAATATTTTACAACAGGTTCCTTTTACATGCAAGGTACGTATTAATTTTGTATGCAAAGTAAAAGCGCGAGGATTAATCAAAATTTCTTCAGCCATCGGCACATATGTAATTATCAAGGTAAGTGTTCCAGTAAGGAGCTCCACTAACATAGTAGCTATATCTCCACATGGTTGGGTCTAGCTGTCACTTCCGCCTTCAACTTTACTCGTGTCTAATTGTAATTGACTACTTGCTTCTTTTGTCGACGTAATTCAATCGAGGTTCTCATAGTTTCTGTTCCTGTTGAAAGTGAATCACGTTTGATGTACATCAATTTCCAAATAATTTAAAAAGTTGCTAACGTTTCAAGACCCCCTGGTGAATTTACCTCGTAATAACTATTGTCTTAATGTTGAAATTATCGTCTCGATTTTTAAATCACTGAGCTCCTAATTACAGTAATTATTACACATAATATGCACGTATGTGGTATTTAAGTTCCGCACGAAGGAGACGTTTACATTGTGTATAGCTACATTGCACCATTTTGTCTAGAACGATTGCCTACAAATGATTTGTTTTCTAGATTACGCAAATTCATTAACTCCAGCGGGCAATTCCCGACAAACTCAACGATAAAACACATCTTCCAGCAAGTTGTTTATTACCGCGATAACGATCTTTCATTGCTCGAATTATTATCACAGAACTATCTCAGATACTTTAAAAATGAAAGCAACGAGAACGAACATAGAAAATTGCGCGAATTAAAAAACTACTGATGTATAATACAAGAGAATCCATTGGAAAAAATTTTATTTTTCATTTCCTTGACAGTTAATAAGAACTCCTCAATTTTTCTTCGACTTAATGGCGGAATTTTAATTGCAATTTTGTGATGATGTTTAAGTTTCAATACTCCTCCAATTTTTTATTCGTAATTAAATGTCGAATCAGGGCTAAAAGATTCTTTCCTGTCGCAGGATGAAATTCTGTATTAGCCGATCACCAAAAGTTAACGATCACGTGGATTCTAATTTCGATTCTTATTTACATAAATTTCTACTTGTAGAGCAAATGGCGCGGGACGTTTTCGTCGCAAAATGAGTCGTTTTCGAGACGCACCTGCCCAACCGTTTGACGTCTCCTGCGATCAGAACTAATGCATTACTGATGGCCGATCCTTCGGGACTTTCGGGGCTTAAAAAACGACCGACGAACGCGCGATTATGTAACTTTAATTGCGTTCTAACTACCGTGCGATACTTGCAGAATATAACCTGCGGTTTCGGCGAGGCTCATTAAGACATTTGCCAAGTTGATGCCCGGAACGTGCCTTTCGCGGCGCGGCGATCAACGAACGTCTACTTCAGAACCTTTTCGCTATAAAAATGTTCATTCGTAATCCCCTAGGAATCGGATTATTTGAAGATACAGAAACAGAAATCGAATGATTAGATAATTAGGAAACGCAGGGAATGGAATAGAAGTTGAGGCTCGAAGAAATTTAGGGTGTAAGGGAAAGATATCTCAAATTCGATTCAAAGATGTGGTTGACGCTATCTCAAACTAAAGATAGATATATAACATTAAGGTTGTAACTGTAAAACTGTAAGAACTGTAAAAGAATTTATGACATTGAAAAATATGCGAATAATTCCAGAAATAATCATTGATAATGTCTTACACAGAATTGACTTGTGCATGTTACTTTTCAACCTGTCACAATACGCATATCGCCATTACCATTTCCAACACGGTGCGACAAAATAGAAATTTCAATACTGGAATTGTAGAAACGCAAAAGCGTAATGTTCATACGATATGAGAATCACGGAGATTTCACTTCGGACATGCATGTTATGTACGCGTTCGCTTCAGAGATTTTTTACGTCCCCCACCCCACCCCACCCCCTCTCTCCTTTCCCTCTCGAGCAGATGAAAGTAAAGCACACTTCCAATCGTGAAGATCGCGTCAATTTCACGTCATATGCGTAGTGTATTTTAGTTGTTGGTATAAACGTGTGTGGATATTATATTTAGATCGCGACGAGTGACGTAACGTCTTCGATTGTGAAACTTTCGTTGTCCAGAAACATCTCAACAAAATCATTAATCCGAACCGTCTTTTTCACTTGGAACGCCACGAATGGCCCCAAGAAACTTTCCTTCAATACTTCAAACAGCTGTCAACGATCCCGTTACCGGGGCGGCATCCGCTTCTCGCTTCTCGCTACTGCAAGAAAAGATCGTTAAAGTCTCCGAAGCGCGGCTCGATCCGAACGGGCCGGGCCGCTGCCAAGATCATCGGCCCGTTATTTGTTGAGGACACAATTATCGGATCGACCGGCACATGTAATTTGAGCGGTATTATGCGTACGTTGACAACGTGTCGCGATTATGTTCGCGGCTGCGTTATACCTGGATCCTCGCCAGTGGCGGCCGAACGTATCTGCACGAGGCCGTACGTGCACGTCCAGCGATCCTGCGCCGATCGCCACGTCCGATCCGATAGCCAATTACGAAGAACATGACGTTCAATGATGTCCCTGTATACCAGCATCGTGGACACGGCTGACCGACTGGCTAGATGATGACGGAACAACCTCGTCTACCTGCGAAACGTTGCGAAAGTGGAAATTTCGCTGGTCCACTTTTTCGGGATCTGCTCTAGCCGTGTCGTTGATAATTATCGATTAGCTATATCGCTTGTAGGCGATCGTCTCTACTTGGAAAGGACGATGTCGACGCGGCTATGGTGCGAGCAGGAATTAGTTTACGTTTTGGTGGTGTTGGTGGTTGATTTTAGATGGGGGGAGGTATGAAGGAGTTGGATGGAAATTGAATGTTTAATGTTAGATTTGTTTTGGTGGGTTTGAGAGGAGTCGGGTGAGTTTTGTTTAATGATTATGTATGCAGAGTGATCGAAGTCAAGTAGGCTAAAGCTCAAGTAGTTCGAAGTTCGTTTCTACACGATCTTCTTTGGAACGCATCTATCCTGTAGAAAGAGGATCGAATGTAATTAGATAGCGAACGCCGCACGTGCTCCTAATAACAGATGGTCCGTTTGGATCCTTGAAATTGCAGTGATTCGACGATTTTCGCAAATTAACAGCGCCTAGTTCGAACGAGTGTTT